TATATATATATATTCAATGTTCAATCACGTATTCATTTCTTATGGATATATTTTTCAATGTGCATGTAATCGTTTTAATGCTACAATTTTCTAAGAAAACATGACTTGAATGTCGTACAAATTTTTAAATATATCTGAATAGAAAGAAATTGATTTGATGGATAATAAAAACAATGTATACAGAAATTGCAGTCGTACATTTTACTTTACAAACAAAAATTGTTTGCATATTTTTATCTGTTAATTTTTTGTCATAATTTCATATCTTAATCCAAGTATATATTTTTTTGCACATGCAGCAATATATAACATAAAGGAAAGATTAATTTGACTCACACCATGCAGATATAATATAAAATGTTTTTATTGATAGAACATGGAAACGTATGTAGATTCTAAATTATGAAAAAGATAAATTAATGAACAATGCTACTTATTAGTTGACTGTTTGATGATTCGTTTGATTTGTTCGTGGACGCAGCGTTTTCTGCAGCACATGTGCATCCGCTGGTTCTATTCTCTTATAATAATGCTCTTTAGTCTCGACAATCTCGAATCCGAATTTCTTATAAAAGTCAATCGCGCCCTCGTTACTTATTTGAACATGTCTGCGAATGTTGGATGATTATGTTAATTTAAAAACTTTCGAGATAGTACATCACAATAAAATGCAAGTCATACTTACAGGAAGATAGAATCGAAATTACCATCCTTGTTAACATAATTTAAAACATGCTGAACCATAACAGTGCCAATTCCTAATCTTCTATAAGGATAGAGACAACCCAATGTCATTATATATAAACGCCTAGAATTTTCTGAAGTATCTACACGGCAACAAACTGCTCCAACCTGAGAATCATGTCACAAATTAAAACTTAATTTATATTCAAATCAAATTTAGTATAATACAATAATCTTTTAACTTTCTTAGTCTGTGAAAAGTACTTTAATCCTGTTGTTCTATTCAAGTTTATTTGATTTAAAATGTTTTATTTATTTTTTACATGTTGATCTAAACGATGATTGTATAATAAATTTAAACAGAACAGCAATGTTAAATAATATAATAAAGTATAGGTTTTCTTCACAATTAATCTCTATCTAAGTTAACTGATTTTTATTATTTTAAATAGTGTAGTTCTTTGGATCATAACAATCATAAAGTAAAATTTAAGAATCGCGATGCTAAACGAAAAACACTAAAAGTCTATCTACCACAATGTCATTGTAATATGCTAGTTTAGCGAGTTCTCCGGCTTCCAGTACATCCTTGTAAAACTTTTCATTGTATGAGACTGGGAATACAACTTGATTGAGCAATTTTAGCTGCTTTATGTTATGCGGTGTCACGTCGCCCAGTTCTATCTTCGACCTGAAAATTGAATACACAATGATATTAAAAGTGAGAATGGCTTTTAATTCCAAATTTTGAAAACGGGAGATACAACGTTTCTTGCATATTTTTGAGAAAAGTCGATGAAGCGGGGAAATTCGTAATGTCGTATTGGATATAACCTCTAAAAGTTCGCGCGCTCACCTAGTCATCTTGACGGGTGACGAGATCTCGCGGTTTCAGCGGGAATGGATTATTGCGCGATCTCCGATTACACTGAGGAGCACAAAACGTAATCGCGTGACTTATCGGTTATTCACGCCTAAAGTTTCCGCGTAAAATTCCGGCGGGCAAAAACATAATGAAATACACGCGGCGCAGGGTAGTAGACCCTCGCGGAGACTGCGCCACTGCGGAGAAAAATTGGATATCGGATTCCTCAAGATGCTTGGGATGTCAATAGCGGTGGTGAGGGAATGACGGTGCTGCCCACGGCGCGGTGGAAGAAAAGCCGAATTACGAACTTCGCCACCTCTAATGTCTCACTTCTATAATTTTATAACTTGGTTTTATATGTCCATTTCTATCAGTATTGATTAATTTTAATCTTGATTTAATTTATCTTTTATCTTGTTCTTAGAACACTATATAAAAAGATAAAAAGTAAATTAAATCAAAATTAAAATTAATCTACATTTATGTAAAAAAAAATCTATCATTGAGGATCATTGAGACCTCTATATCTTTTAGACTGCACTAAAGCTTAATTTTCTGAATTGATTTTTATCAATTATAATAAAGATGTATATCAATCAGCAATTATAAAACTTATAATTATTAATTATTTCTTTATTGTAAGTAATTTTACATTACTTGTAATATTATGAAAAAGATAATTTATATAAATTTAACGTAAACAATATACGCAAACATTACAAATATAAATATTATAATTGTATACTGGAGTTATCGATGATGTCATTACGTAATTTGGGACATTACTCGTCTCCTCGTTGGCATGTCGTGGTGCGTCACTAGATGGTGCATGCGGCGCTCGACGCCATCTTAATGCACCACATGACCTCGTTGCCGTGTCCCGTGACCAGCTCACGTGAATTTCGACAAATTCAAACGTTTTTTTTTCGGTGCTGAGGAATGGACATTTTGGAGCAACAACTCGAACAACAGGATGTCAGGTAGCGTTTACACTAAATATCGATCGCACGGTATCGCAAACACATTCCTTTCCGTCTCGTCCGAGGTCTCCTCAAGGTCATCATCACTTAGTGCACAGTGCGCACTTACGCCGTAGGATCGACATACACAATCGTCGAAGTAATACACGTAGCGTGTAACCACGTTTAGATAAGATAATATCGCGTCTGAAAGTGTTATTTTGATTTTGCAGCACCGTGAAGAATGATGGTGGTGGCACGACGGGGATCGTGATAGAGGAAGCAGAGATTGTGGACTGCGAAGGTGAGAGCCATATTTTCGTAAGATCTTCGTCTTCTATTCGTAAACTATAACCAGTACTTATTACAAAGGCCGATATTCATAGTTGATTCTTGTTTTAAAATTATCTTAAGTAATGTCTTAAGATGCTAATACAGCTCTTTGATTGGTTTATGATTGTATTTAAAATAGTCTTAAATATAAGAATTGACTATGAATACCAGCCATAGTAGACATAAAATATTGTTTTATCATTATTTGATGAATAACAGAGACAGTTTTCCTTTTAAAAGATATAATTGTCAGGTATCATTCTATCTTTGTTAGTCATGGAATGCCAAGAAAGATAGGACATTTATATTAACTGTGTTTCCTAAAAAAGAAGCAGTCAAAGATACAACATTTGTATCAAATGTGTTTAAAAGAAAAGCTTGTACTAGCCTATTTCGATTAAACATGTTGACTTGTTTGATGATATTGTGCTGTCAAACATCAATTTTTACAGTTACGTATTCTGTTCCTCTTAGAACCTGTTGGAGATGATGAAATGCGTTATCCAGAAACTTTAGCATATCGAGTTGTCCAAGTGAACGGTACAGCAGCAATACAGTCGGCCAATGAAATAGAGATACCTGCCTCCCAACCGAATAACACTGTGCAGGTTTTAACGTCGCCTTTGAATGGTCAGTTTTACGTTATCGGGAATGCCAATGATGTCTTTACTACAGCTCAGACATCAAGATCCTTGGTGCCAAGAACGGCTACGTTGCAGATAGAAACTCCGAGGAATTGCACTGCTGGCTTGAAAAAGGTTTAATCATAGTTATATCCTTATTCTTTATGTAACTGATATATCATTACTTTATTTTTTTTAGTGTAAAAATAAAAGTTATTTCTTTTTTTTTGTTTTCTTTTAGAGAGACGATAGGCGAAGAGCAACGCATAATGAGGTCGAGCGTCGGCGTAGAGATAAAATAAATAATTGGATTACAAAGTTGGGTAAGATCATTCCTGACTGTAATACTACAACTAATACCACTGGCAGTAGCGGCAGCGGCAGCGGAGAAGGGAAAACCAACTATGAAACTCAGGTATAGCAGATTGAAATTTTTGTCGTATAATTGTTTAAAATGATATTGTATTAACGATGTTTCTGTAACAGAGTAAAGGAGGTATTTTAGCAAGAGCTTGCGAGTACATAGGAGAATTGCGTGCGGCTAATCAAAGTCTGAGCCAATGTCTGCGAGATAACGACAAACTACGGCAAGAAATCATATCACTGAAACAAGTAGTTACCCAATTGAAACGCGAGAATCTCCAACTCAGATCACAAATATCATCCTCGTCCCCGACCGATAGTACCGACGTTATACATTTGAGTCCTTAAGCTTCCTCTAATTCGTGAGTCAGTAGCTCTTTCTGTAAATATTAGAATTTATGAGTTGTGTCTTGTTTTACAAGGGAGTCTAATTCTGTTTTGTTCTCTGATGATTGCACCAGTCTTATCAAGTTTTAAGATATCTTGATTTTTTTCAAAATCAAATTTGATATTTTTAGTAATATAGTCATAACTACACATTTATATTAAACGATATCAATATTCTGAAAATATTCATGGATGGATTAATTTAAATTAATTTCAAATACCTTTTGCTTAGTAAGTAAAACATTTTATATTTTACAAAAGTTTCTTTCATCGTAGCGAAAAGTTTTTTTTTATTATTAAACCTATTTTTTAAGTGACAATTGAAAAATAAGTAAAAATTTATAATTATGATACAGTCAGAAATTCTAGAAAATCTAGAAGAATAATTTTATTCTATAATTACTGTGGGATTACAAACTGCACGAACAAAATTAAATGTATACATAAACTTATAAAAAAAATTTTTTGTCAAAGGATTAACTATTCATGTTAATGATGTGTAAGTAAAATATGTATATGCATATATATATATATATATGATTTTATATTGATTATATTATATCATATATACATATATATATATTGAAAATTTTTTTAATTTTTTGAAATATATATTTCTATACGTATTATTTAATAAATCGGATGAAATAGAAAAAAAAATATTTATAATTGTGTAGTTATGATTGTTACAATTAACTTTTCTAAGATCGGTATTTATAATCCTTTTGTTTTAAGTAATATCTTGATAAGATGTGGCTTTCTGATTGTCCATGACATTTTCAAGATTGGTAAAAAAACATGTTTTAAACATGATTTTAAATTATTATTTAAAATGTGTTCCAAACATGAAAAATATATTTAAAAAAAACAATGTTTAAAAAACTATTTTTTTTTTATCAACTCAAGCAGTTAAATATAAGAATCGATTATGAATACCGACCTAAGTATATACATAGACGTGATATGTCAATGTACTGGCATATGTTGAAACATCATGGCTGTGAGTATCAAACATTGACATGACATTCTATTCTTTTTTTTGGAAAAGTTTAACCGGTGCAGTCAAAATTATTTTTAAAAAAGAAATTTGCGTTGATTCACATAAAGAGTCTACAGATGACAAACAAAACACAGAGGTCGTTAACTATTTTTTATTTTTAATACTGTTTTCATAATTATAGAATAGAATATCTGATAGGATGAGTTTAGGATTTAAATTGTAATTGTGATTAATTATACATATGGACATATATGTATATTTACACATGTATGTGTACATACATAAAATATAGAGCAACGTACATGTGGCAATAACATATTTTTGTCAATACAAGATGATATTCCATGGAAAGACTTCAAAATTTTAATTCACCAAACGTTAGATATCGAAATGTAATATACCGTTAATGTACATATCGCGAGGTTATTGTTATACAATGATGATTAAAACAAGATTTATTAAAAGTGGTCTACGAAAACTTATTTGGCATGATCATATCCATATATCCAGCAAATCATGATCCTCTTGTGCATAATTTTATTGTATTTTTTTACATATCATACAATGGAAATGATATCGAAGTCAATGGAACACTCACAAGTTCTTTTTCCTTTCATATTTATCTTCACGATATCGAAGACCCTGCACCTTGATCATTTATCTAACATATCATATATGCGCGCGGTGTGTGTGTGTGTGTGTGTGTGTGTGTGTGTGTGTTCTGTTCTAAACTTTTAAATCATTAATGTTTGTAACATTAAGGTATAGTATGCTTAATTATGCATAACAGTTGCGATTATCGTTTTTCGCGCTTAAATAGTACATTATATGTTACAAATACTTCACAATCTTTTTGCAAGATAAGAACAGTCGTGTTATCCACATGCCATATAGCTGGTATATATAATCAAGAGTATATTCTCATATCATTATTCTAATTTGCGCGCGTCGAAACGGGCAGCTGTTTTATACTTTCGTTTATATTATACATTTACAGAAAACATATAGGAATTATTAATTTTCCCGATTATATGCGTCTTTAACAAAACAAAAAACGAAAGTATATTTCTACACGAAGGATAAAATTACTTTCTGATAATATCAGATTAATTACAATTAGCTCTGCTCTTAAGTCAAGCGATTTAACCCTCAGGAAGCGGAGCGTATCTTCAAATGTATGCTTCAAATGCATTTAAGAATGTCCCACTTTATTGTCACAATCGTCATGTACACGACATTCTCTCGAATATTTCGCTGCTTTATATGGTAATAGATTTCATCATAGCTTCTCTATTTACAATTAATTCAAACCCTTTCAAAGTTGACGTATATTCGATAAATAATATATGACATAATCGATAATGCTGCATGTAGTCGTATTTTTAGCAGATTGTCTGCAATTTATTAATTGGACCGGGACATTCTTAAATGTTAGAGCCAAGTTACAAGAACAATCAATATCTTAAAATTGCTTTTAACAAGTGGCAAGTTAGGAATTTAGTCTTCTAAATTCCTGAACGCCTGTTGAATATCTTCGTGCAGCTGA